TTGGACATTCACACGCTGCCCTACTTCCGGGAAATAATCGCAGCTAGTATGCAATTGTCTTCCCAGTACGGATAACTTGAGTGTGTCAAGTTGATCGGTAACAATCATTTCATGTCCTGTGTACATGGGACTCAGCGTTTCCTATCGGTTTGGAGTTCTGTCCATAGTATTGTTTAGTTGACCCATGGAAAGACGAACAATGGGGAGGCGAATTTCATAAGTGCTATCGCGTCAATTCTGAATACGGATGTGATCATATGATGGCGATAATACAAATAAAAGCACACAATTGGTTTGAATCATCTTAGTGTCTGCAACCAAAACCTGATTATATTTTTTTTTTGTTAATGAACTCTGCCTTAAATCTGTTATTTATTATAAGTATAATAATATTAAGTTTGAAAGAAATATTGAAATAATCGAAGAATTCACGCGTAACAGCAGAAAATTAATGCAAATAAATGCAAATACATCTTCCATTGAATCTGTTAATTCAGGCACAAGCTAATATCATCATCTGTCGAACTGTGCTGCGAGCATGGCTTAAAATTCGAACATTTTTTGATCGGGAGGAAATTTGGTCGAGGAATTGCTTGAATTTAAGGAAATGTAAAATTTGAAGACTTGTCGTCACAACTAAGTGATTCCCATTTCATTTGTATGGCAATCACGGCCCTCATTATGAGTATCACTTCCTTTTCACTGTATATTGTCGCTAGAATTGTAAACCGATATAACCCACTCGCGACAATCGATTTTATTCTAGTTCTGCATTAAAGCGCATTATTCAACGAATACAGTGCACTAGATACGACATTATGTTGAACGTACAAAACGAAAGTGGGATCGATTGTCGCGAGTGGATTATTTCAGTTTCCAACTCTAGCATGGTTCTCCAAGAAATTTAGTATAAGTATTCGCAGAATTGGTCATGTTAGTCTAGTAAAACATTAATATGCGTATTTCAGGGTGTAAGAAGAGTTTTTGAATAAATTGATTCATTCGAGTATGTGTTAAGGGTTTTCTTCAATTTTTTTAAATAGTTCAAGAATAAGGATTTGGGTACGTTTTTAATTACATTTGTGTAACTTTAATTACATTAATTATAGAAAATTAATTTTTAATTACATTAATTACGTAATCAAATTGAAGTACGTGTTTTAATTACCGTAATTACACTGGCACTGCTTTGATTACGCGAAATTAAATTTAATTACATGAAATACTTAATTTTCATTTTTAATTACTTAATTACATAGTTGAACACCTTGTACTTTAAATCCAACGCAGTCAAAAAGGCTATTGCGTGCCCCTCGCGAACAACATTACATGAATGGATGTAACATTGTAAGGTAAAATGGTGCACGACATCTGAAGGAACGCAGAAAACATGCGCACAGCGAAACGAACCACGGATAATCGCAATTGCTGTGATCAATGTGATTGGTGAGGCAGAAGGAAACAAGTCAGTTCTTTCATTTTCATTATCATAATATAGTGTGACGTAACGTTGGATCATGCGTAAGAACACCGTGAGATCGAAAGAATCGACTACATTCTTTCTGCCGCACCTATAGTAACGCACACGGCTCCCGAGCTGACTGTTCCTTCTTTCTCACTCTAATCAAAATTTCCTTCGATGAGTGAGAAAACATCATCCCGTCAATGCGAGCGAGAACGCGAGTTGCCAGATCATTGCACACAAAACCAACTTGAATTAATTCAAAATAAAAATACTAGCGAACCTGGCGGGGAGGGGCAGAAGGTGGACTAAAATTCTATTACAGCGAACCACATTATTCTAATTGATTTCTTCGCCAGTTAGTCGTTTGTCACTTCGTTTGTGTTGCCAAGTCTCAAACAATGTTGCATGCACGATCGATAGAATGTATAGAAACGTCAAAGTGATCCGATACCAGCGCTGTGGTGGTGGATTCGAGCAACTAATATGATTTAAATTGGACATTAAATGTGTGTACTCGTGTGTGTATTCGACGATTGTGGAGAAATAATTACGTCTGTTTGTCTGTGGTCGTAACTGACACAACCGGAATGTTTGATCTGCGGTCGCACGTTTTAATACCGGTAATGTTCCTATAGCAGTGCTTTTACAACTCTAGATACTTCTGGCTGAAAGTCTCGCTAATAAAGATAACCTAACCTAACCAACTCGAGAGCTGGAATTAGGGCGTAACAGCTTTAGCAAACAATGACTTCTCTCGATGATTTCTCGGAAGCCATGGATCTCCCTGGCAAATCGACATCACCATCGAGTAGAGGAAGACTCCTCCCCTTCTCCTACTCGATGGATATGTTGGTTTGTGCCTTGAATTCCTAGAAATTAACGAGAGAATTTCGCCCTAATTCCAGCTCTATCTAGAACTGCTCATTATTGTTATCAAGATTCACAAGCTAAACAGAATAAAATAATGACCCAATTTGTTAATTAGCTTCCGTAAAAGTAGTAAATTATCGAATTCAAACATTTGTTGTGCAAAATCCTCGCGGTAAACTATGCGTGCGCCATAAATCGTATGAATTCATATGAATTTTTCAACTGTGTCGAATGCTCATCTGACCCACACAGAAAATAACTGATTGCAGCCCGCCAACAATAAAAGATACATCTTCCCATAGCTCAACAAGCAATTAATCAAATTATGGTTTAAATTGTTCTGTGTGAAACACGACACAGTACTGTACTAGACTAGCAAAATGAAATTAGCCCATTAAGATAAGCAAACTCCGTAGGATCTTGAATGAACCGGTATCGCTGGGTTGCTTTCACCTTTTCCATATAGCTTAACCTACCCGAAAGACAACAAATCAAGAGCAAATTTTCATTACGTCGAATGTAACAAAGGTAAACAAAGTCAAGCTATCAGTGTCAATCGATTCTCCTGCTATTACTTTATATACTGTCCGAATATAGGATCAAATCCCATTTTTAAATTTATTCACCAGTCAAATTGCTTTTTGACGTAATCACCTTCCGATCAAAATAGATTTTGATGTTACTTAAGTCACCCAATTTCTATGAAGATGCCGTTTGACTTAAGTAACAGTGCTGAGAAACCCGTGAAAAGTGTACGTTCGTCGTTTCGCTTTCTCATTATTAAAGTGAATAAATCGAACTGTTTGTTGCTAAGATGATTTCGGTGGTCCTAAAATGATGAATGGGCTGCACGTAAGGAGACGTAATTGATAATTCTCCCGAATATCCTGGTAAATACACTTTGACTTAAGTAACAATAGGGGCCACCAAACGACGTATAATAACTATTGACTCAAAAACCAGTATTTTTAGCATGAAAGCTAGCGATTTGCATTTGTATGATTAAAACCCTGCTAAATATGTTAAACATTGCTATCACTATGAGATTATATGTGTTTACTTGGAAATAGGAATAACTTTTCGGTCATCAAAACAAAACTTTATTTTTCTCGGATTGGTGCGAATGTTACTTACGACATAATGAAAATTTGCTCTTGAAATATAACAACCGAACAAATCAAGAGCCACATGTGAAAAAGGCATACAAGCTTTTTGTAAACAAACCTTTGTATGCTCTTTACTCGCCAACCGAGGGTCACCCACGCAAACCAACAACATCATCGGAAAGGGGAAAGCTTCCCCTACCCGCTAATGTTAATGGTTTGCGTTGATGTCATATGAGTGGCGAGAAAAGGGCATAAGAAGGTTTGTTTACAAAAAGCTTGTATGCCCTTTTCACATGTTGTTCTTGAAATAATGTTCAATCCCCAAGACCCGGACGGTCAAGTGTCTAGTAGTTATTCTCCAAGTTGGCTGAGTAAAACTATTGCGATCGGACAACCGGTTCCGGAGGTAATATGATCAAAACTTAAAACTGTACACGAGCAAGAACAATGCCGCCGATAGGGGGATTGTTCTATTTTATTGTTTTACATTTTTACTCAAAATTTGAAAGTGAAAATCAAATGTCTTCAAAACGCTGCAGTCTATCGCTTCTGATTGTCGGCTGTCATCTCCAATATAGATAAATAATAATAATTATCGCATGCTGATGAACGCGTCGCCTACTAAGTACACTAACTGAAAGCAATCATGCAATGATTCGCGCGCCCGCACTGGAGCTGTGTATCTCTCACAATGTAAACAAATATACCTTGAACCTTGAATGTCATTTATACCCCGTTCAAACCTATATTACGTGACATAGTACAATCTTGATATCAGCATCTATACATCTATAGTTCTCACTGGAAATAATAAGTACGACGTTTGTTATTAAGATATATTATCGGTACAGTTGAAAACCGGAATAACCAATTAGCGACAATCGATTTTACTCGCGTTCTGTACATTAAATATATAGTGTTGCAAGTAGTGCGCTATACTCTCACAACGATGCGCTACTTCCGACACTATGTATATCGTACAGAACGAAAGTAAAATCGATTGTCGCTAGTGGGTTATTCCGGTTTTCAACTGTACCGATAATACTCTATATCGTAATAAAGGCTGTATTGTGAACGGGATATTACCATAGAGGTAACTCAAACTGGTTTCGTAGAATTCTATTTCACTAACTTGTAAACATTCCATGATAATAGATAGGGTGGAGAACAGATTCAGCTCCATCGAGACCCTATTCAAAGCACGGGTTTTTTTTTTCTAAAGAAAATTCATCGGAAGTCCATTCAAAAGATGCCTTATGATGTGAAGTATCTTACTGCAGAAAATGAGCGTTGAATGAGCTTATCCTTTCGTCTACAATGTGCAGACTTCTTCAGTGGCTTGTACTAATAGTCGACTTACTGCACATTGCAGACAAAATACCCGTGTCTATCAAGGATAAGCAATTAAGGTAGTGGAATTAAATGGAAATTACTAATTCGTTTCTTTTTCTTTACACAGGTATTCCAACATAGACGCCCACATTGATCAGGATTGGTTATCATATGTCAATGTTTTGTAAGATTCAAAGGCAAAACCAGTAAGAAGCCATGCTGCAGGCCCCACTCGATTTGGGTGTAGTAACTCTCTACCGGACAGCGTCGTCCACTATTGTTGGGTACCGGAATAGATAAGCAGACAGCTGATCATTGTTGAACGTTTTGCATTCCACCTTCACCCTCTCCCGCTCCTGCCACACAAAATGCGATGTGATGTGACGCAACAGGTAGCCGAGTACAGCAGTACAGCCCAAAGAAGATGTACTATATAGTAGCTAGTGCCGACCGAGATTGGTGGAGACGGCGCAGTTCGGTTCAAGCTTTCTTCATCCGTAGACACAATTGACACTTTGGCTTGGCTGTCGCTCGTCGGTGGGTCAGTAGTTTTTGTTTTGCTACATTAAATACCTTAAACATTGACATTTGCCATTTTAGTGCTGACCGAATCCGATGCAAATCGCAAGTTTTTGCGTTATTAAAGTGAGTCGGCGCTAGTTGAATCGAATCGCGGAAGATCGCTGGCTAAGCATGACTAAGAAGGTCATCATAACCGACCGAGAGCTCTACCCAAGTCATCAGATTCCAGAAGGTAGGTACCTGCTCTGCTGTAAGAAAAAATAATAATTGCAATATGGTTTATTTTTAAAACTCATTTCCAATTCCTATTAAAAGCGTTGGGGTTGCAGTTTTAGAAATTTGCATCGAAAGAAAGAAAAAATAGATAATAGGCACCTACTACGCGATGGTAATGCAACGTCACATGTGGGAAATATTCAATGTTTAAACTCCGAATCATGGTTTCGAATGAAACCGCAACCGGAAATTTCCCTCACTGCAGCAACGTGCATACCGTGGGTTTTTTTTTCAATATCAGCCGCTTGCCTGGCGTTTCACATCTAAACATTTCTAGATAGAGCTGGAATTATGGTGTAACAGCCTTTGTAAACAATAACTTCTCTCGTTGATTTCTCGGAATTCAAGGCACGCCTACAAAAATCAACATATCCATCGGGTAGGAGAAGTCTTCCTCTGCTCGATGGTGATGTCGATTTGCCAAGGAGAGCCATGGCTTCCGAAAAATCATCGAGAGAAGTCATTGTTTGAAAAAGCTGTTACGCCCTAATTGCAGCTCTATCTAGATTTATTCATTATTTTTTAAATGTTTACCTTTCTTACAAAAAAGGGTATACATTAGCGTGATGCAAAATTTGAAATTTTCGCTCCACAATACTTAAACGATTCCAAATCGGATCCTGACTAACCTCTCAAAATTTGAACCCATTTGGTGAGAAACTGAGATGGCACAAACCATTTGAAGTTTGTATGGGAATTACTATGGTAAAACCAAGATTTTTGTTCATGTCTATCTAATAATTCACCATATCGGTCTTCTTCAAAAGATTTCAACTTTACTTGTAGGAAATTTTCCCAGCTACAACTTTGCTGAAGGCCACTTTTTGATTAAATGCAAGGATCGAAAGTTATCAATGGTTCAATGCGCTGATGTCTTATGATCATGCTCAGCAGGCAACATTGGTGTTTCTGGGGCGTTGAATAGGACACAAAAATCATGGCTACTATGTCATACTGCAATATACAGTGTTGCCTAAAGAGCAGCTGCTTGATCATGTCATAAGTTTTTCAATCTCTTAAATAATTAATAACTTTTTCCTGTCTCGTTTTACATAGAAACGATCTTGAGCAAAGTTGTAGCTGAGAAAATTTTCTATAAGAATGGCTATCGAACTGTTTCGCAGCTCAATATGGAAAAAGACTAGAAGGCAATGAACAAAAAGTTGAGATTTCCCATGGTAATTTACATGTAAACTTAAAATGGCTTGTGCGAAGTCTGTTTCTAACCAAATGAGTTGTAACTTTGGGAGGCTAATCAGGACCCGATTTGAAACCATTTAAGCACTGTGGAGCGAAAAAGTCAAATTTTGCATCAGTCTAGTATACATGTCGCTTGGAAAATCAACTTTCGATCAGAGGGGCTTGGAGTCATTTATTTATTGTAATTTTAATACATCTGACAATTAGTCCGTCGTTGGTAGTTTATTAAATGTTTAGCAGTTGAATTCCTTGCTTTCAACATTTTACATCGTGTTTATCATGTTTTACTGATTATTGTTTGGGGATATGTTAGACAGTAGTGATGTAGTCAGTTGGACGGCTGAAAAATGACTGATTTTGTTAATTATCAAGATGTATATTAGAGTGGGTTATCGTTACATGGAAAAACGCAAACTTTACCGCACCAATCGAGAACAACCCTTTTTTGGTTCCAATTGGAGTCCCAAACATCCTGTACAAAATTTGGGAACGGTTAGTTGTAACTCGGCTTTCCCATTGCGTTTGAAATTTGTATGGAAAATAGTATTGGAAAACCAACTTTTTTACGTTGTTATCCCTAGAGACCACAATTTTGCATGAACCGTGCAACTAAGTATGTACAAATATAGTCCAGGAAGTGCCTAACAATTTTTCCAAAGGAAGTACGGTGCTAGAATGTATCTAAAAAAAAGTAATAGCTATTCAAATATTTATGGTTTAAATTAAACACCAAAACTACTTTTTTCTGACAACACTGCCAGTGTACCAATGGAAGTCAGATTCCAAACTGAAATATTTTTGGAGTTTCTTATCTTGCCGATTTGGTATGTTCAGATGAATTATTCAAAAACAATTGCTCTATCTCATATGTGTAGTTGGAGGGGGGGGGGGGGGTTAATAATATACCTCAGTCTCCTCACTTATATCAATAGTTTCAGTTTGAAATAACTTCGGAGTTTCTTATTTTATCGATTTGGTATTTTTTTTATATTAATTTATTTGTACAGGCTCAATCGAATAAACTTTACAGAGCCGAGTTATCATTTGCATTATACATGATTAATGTCTTAAATCTAGAGTTAAAGGAACTCGCGGTCGTCTCGAGGTTAGTGGAGATTTACATTTTTTTGGATGGGGAAAGGGAGAAGGAGGTTTGAAATATGATTTATTATACAAATATTTAATTAATCCTAAAACATGATCTTATATCTATTCATCTTGAAAACAAACATTAAAACTACACGCACAATACACAAACTAAACAAAGGTTAATCAAACTTACAATCTAAGGTTAGTATTCTTAAAGTAAACATATATGAGTTTCATAAACTCCAGATCACGTCTAGCCAAAATATCCCGAACTGGAACATTAGGTTGTCTACCTCGAACCCGAAGGGAATTGCACAGCTCAGATCTACCGATTTGGTATTTTTTTTTTTTAATAATTCGTTTATTTTTCCAGGCTCATTTGCTGTAGCTTTGCGGAGCCAATATTCATTGTTTAGATAACAAAATTACTTAAAACTAACGTTAGTAAAGCGGGGGCCGATTAAAGGGTGTCCACGATGAAATTGCCACACACAAAATTGATTCGCAAAATTCGAGTTTTCATCCGATTGCCATCAAATTTTCAGGGATTGAGAAATAACTATTAAACTTCATTTTACCATTTTACTCGTATTTTATTTACAGTCCATACGCAAATGCCCGCACCTTGGCCTTAACCCCGGCCATAAGATTCTGCACAACCTGTGAATCAACCGTTTTTTGCATGTAAACCCATACTTTCTTCAGTTCCTCGACTGTCTTCACTACCTTAGGTCGTTTAAGAAGGTGCTGTTTCATAATCGCCCAGTACTTCTCGATGGGGCGGAGCTCCGGAGTGTTGGGAGGGTTGAACATTTTCGGCACGAAATTGACCTTATTGTCCGCATACCACTTCAGCACGTCCTTGGAGTAGTGGCATGAGGCCAAATCCGGCCAGAAGATTGTTGGGACGTTGTGGGCCTTCAGAAGAGGAAGCAGCCGCTTCTGGAGGCACTCTTTTATGTACACCTGTCCGTTCATCGTGTCCTGGGTCACGAAAGGTGCACTCCGCTTCCCGCACGTGCAGATGGCTTGCCAAACCAGGAATTTCTTCGCAAATTTGGACATCTTCTGAGTGCGGACATGCTCCGGAACGCTGAACTTATCCTTGGCCGTGAAAAACAGGTTGCCGGGGATCTGTTTGAAGTCGGCCTTCACATATGTTTCGTCGTCCATGATGCAGCATTCAACTTTCGTCAGCATGTTGAGGTACAACTTCCTGGCACGGGTTTTGGCGGACTTGTTCTGCTTCTTGTCGCGATTAGGGGCCTTTTGTACCTTAAACGTTCGAAGTCCAGCCTTAGTTTTGGCCTTCTGGACAAAACTTCGGCTTAGGTGCAGCTTCTTAGCCACATCCCTAACGGAGGCGTTCGGATTTCGGTTGAAGGCCCCAACTACGCGGTTGTGATTTTTGGTGTTGTACGGAATACTTTTTCCTTCACTTCTGGGCTTCCGATCGGTGGTCAACCGTTCCTCGAACCGCTTAATCACTCGCGACACCGTGGAATTCGCGATTCCCAACGTTTTAGCGATGGAACGATGCGAGAGATCCTTGTTCTCGTGATGAATGCGCAAGATTTTATCACGCACGAGCTGTTCTTTCGACTCCATTTCCGCGAGTTTTGATCACAGGACTTTAAAACTTGCAGGATGTAAATAATGCACTATGAACTAAATCCACCCAAATTTTCATTAAATTCTACCCAACGGTTAAAAAGTTAGAGCAATTTCATAGTGTGGCAATTTCATCGTGGACACCCTTTACTCGCGGCTATCTCGAGGTTAGGGGTAACAAATTGTAACAAATGGATGGCAGGGTAGGGATTGTGAACACAAGGTTTGGAGAGCAATGTGCTCTTGATCTCGAACTAGGCGACACTCTGATGAAAAAGACAAACATGGGGGTACACCGATGGGTAGCTAACAACTTGGGAGAACACAAGATGACACTAACTTCTAAATCCTCAAATCTGTCCGTTTTAAAAACACATAAATTAAATTCAAATAGTCGAGATCTCGGCTCGCCAAGACATCTCTAACGGGTATCGCGGGTTGTTTTCCTCGGGCCCTGAGGGATGTGGATAAATCAGATCTGGCAACACGGTGTAGGGTACACGACCAAACAACATGCTCGATATCGTGATAACCACTGCCACTCGCACATAAATTGCTGCCTGAGAGCCCAATTCGATAGAAGTGCGAGTCTAACGAGCATTGATTGGACATAAGCCTTGATATAACGCGTATAAAGTCGCGGCTCATGTCCAACCCTTTGAACCATGGTTTGTTCGACACCTGTGGGAGAATAGAATGTAACCATCTTCCCAGATCACTCTCATTCCATTTTTGTTGCCAGTTGGTGAGGACGTGCTGACGGGTAATTGAAAAAATACCGCAAAGGCGATGTGTCGATCAAAAATATCGCCTTCCATAGCGCCCACCTTAGCCAATGATAGTATAGGAGCAGTAAGTATAGTAAGCACTCAGTTTAGTTCGTATTTCAGGCAGGAAATACGAGGAGTGCTTCATCGGCCTCATTGAACGAATAGCCTCCAATGAGCTAAGACTATCCGTAAAAATGAAATAATGGTCAGAAGGTAGTGAGGCAATTCGCTCTACTGCGTAAAATATAGCTGTGAGTTCCGCAACGTAAACGGAGCATGGTTTCTG